GCAATATTTTTCAATGCAGTCTTTTCTATTTGATAGATCTCATTGATATCTACCTTAGATAATGGATAGCGAGGTATCCAGCTGTCACCGTTTCCGAGATATTTTGACTTATGTGAAATTTGGACATGGTCATTACGGGTGATCAATTTATGCTACCTTTTACTTGATAACGTTTGAAGGAAGAGGCATTTCGCAATCCGGTTTCTTGCATCGTGTAGAACACACAAATATCTATCATTGATACCACATAGACTTTGCGCTTCTGCCATCGTTTCCCAGTAAACTTGAAAATTTCACGAATTTTGGCATTTTGGACATGGCCGCAAAACGAGCCTATAGGATCCTCTGGGAAATTCAATGTTTTCGTCATAACGTTTCACCAGAGCAATATTTTTCAATGCAGTCTTTTCTATTTGATAGATCTCATTGATATCTACCTTAGATAATGGATAGCGAGGTATCCAGCTGTCACCGTTTCCGAGATATTTTGACTTATGTGAAATTTGGACATGGTCATTACGGGTGATCAATTTATGCTACCTTTTACTTGATAACGTTTGAAGGAAGAGGCATTTCGCAATCCGGTTTCTTGCATCGTGTAGAACACACAAATATCTATCATTGATACCACATAGACTTTGCGCTTCTGCCATCGTTTCCCAGTAAACTTGAAAATTTCACGAATTTTGGCATTTTGGACATGGCCGCAAAACGAGCCTATAGGATCCTCTGGGAAATTCAATGATTTCGTCATAACGTTTCACCAGAGCAATATTTTTCAATGCAGTCTTTTCTGTTTGATAGATCTCATTGATATCTACCTTAGATAATGGATAGCGAGGTATCCAGCTGTCACCGTTTCCGAGATATTTTGACTTATGTGAAATTTGGACATGGTCATTACGGGTGATCAATTTATGCTACCTTTTACTTGATAACGTTTGAAGGAAGAGGCATTTCGCAATCCGGTTTCTTGCATCGTGTAGAACACACAAATATCTATCATTGATACCACATAGACTTTGCGCTTCTGCCATCGTTTCCCAGTAAACTTGAAAATTTCACGAATTTTGGCATTTTGGACATGGCCGCAAAACGAGCCTATAGGATCCTCTGGGAAATTCAATGTTTTCGTCATAACGTTTCACCAGAGCAATATTTTTCAATGCAGTCTTTTCTATTTGATAGATCTCATTGATATCTACCTTAGATAATGGATAGCGAGGTATCCAGCTGTCACCGTTTCCGAGATATTTTGACTTATGTGAAATTTGGACATGGTCATTACGGGTGATCAATTTATGCTACCTTTCACTTCATAACGTTTGAAGGAAGAGGCATTTCGCAATCCGCTTTCTTGCATCGTGTAGAACACACAAATATCTATCATTGATACCACACACACTTTGCGCTTCTGCCATCGTTTCCCAGTAAACTTGAAAATTTCACGAATTTTGGCATTTTGGACATGGTCGCAAAACGAGCCTATGGGATCCTCTGGTTTTCCCTCCTTATTTTCTTGTCATCCTTATCATCCTTTTATTGCTGCATTTGCTATTTTTATTTGTTTTAATTTCGTACTATTATTTTTTGTACCCAATCTTTCTTTTTCACTTTTCTGTGTTCTTCATTACCTTACAACTGGTCGCCAATATTATCACTGTTTTTCATGGACAAATATTATAAAATTGCTTCCTCCAGCATCTATTTATTAATATTTACGCTTATCCGAACCTTTCAACCAGCCTTGCAATTAGTATACGTTTACATCCTCCAAACTGTATAGCACTAATTCTACATTTATAGATGACATGTTGATTTTCACCTTTATTTTTCATCACCTTTATCCTTGTTTGATCTTCAATCGTATAACACTTCTCTTTTTGGTTGTGTGTACATTCTTACTCTCCCAGACTGTTTGTAGTGGGAAGTCTTAGTGTGTGTGTATGATTCCTGTGTACAGAGACATCTGTGACATGTCGTTGGGAATAGCCTACTCCACGGTTATTACGTACCTCTTTCAGTTGAAAATCCTTGGTTGACTAACTAATTTTGTCTTACAGTACTTGTTTTGAATTTAGAAAGCTACATTGCCTAAGTGCATGCGTGCCTACCTGCCCGGATATCTACCCGCCTCACAGCACTTTTGAGGTGAATTTGAATTTTGATGTTATTACTATTGTTTTTGTTGTTTAATAGAACCGCTGAAATATAGAAGAGGAAGAATGATCGTCGTCTCCATGTGTTTAGAACGTTTCGATGTCTTAAAGAAGTTTTGTCGAATATTTGCATTAGAACATAGAGATTGGTTTCTGGTTAGTGACGTATTCAACCTTCTGTTGAATATTCCTGTAATATTATCACCTTCAAAATAGCGTTGAATGAACATAGGCTTTCATTTTACCACTGGTGTTTGTTTGACACTTGGGTCTTCACATTTTCCGTACTTCTTAACAAATGTTTCTGAGGGAAACCGTTGTTTTTCAGCATCTTTTCGAGAATCAGAAATTTTTCCACTCATCTCTCTGCAGAGTAAATTCTCTTGACGGACTCTATAGAACCACAAGGTGTTTTTACCAGTGCTGGTTTATATTCAGCTATTAGGACAAAAACTATTCAAATATGGGTACTGTCCATCCCGAGTCGGTTGCTTTCAGTAAAAATTAACCTCTGGAGACTTCTCCATCTTACGGGTATTGCACAGCACGATGACAAAGTGGGGAGTGAAACTTTCCATCATTCTCACCTTCCATATTCTGATTTTTTTAAGAAATATATCTGTGATGAGAGCTGTCTGCTAGTCAAAATTGGTAAACAGCAATTTACGTCATCGTTTACTTCCCAAATCTTTGTCATGAGAAAAACAAGAACAAAAACTTTGCGTGGGCGGATACAATTCGCAGATAGATGATCTGACCTTCAAAGAAACGGCCACAAAGAGATGACAGATTAACTTTCAGAGAGAAAACAACTAGTCAGAAGACTCTCTTTGTCTGCTAACAATAACCTATAATAATGTACATAAAAATATATAAATACCTGTTGATTTCCTCAATAAACGATATGCTGCCTGGCCCTTATCTTCTGTCGGTACATATCTACAAACTTAATATGCAGTTAATGAAGAAGAGAGAGAGAAGAAGGGAGAGAAGTTTTCTCCTGAACGCAGTTGACTTCTTTTCATTTATTATTTCTCATGATAGTTGAATAGAACTGGATTTTGAATATAGCAGTTATATTTGCTTTCTTTACAGTTATACTGGTTTACCTTGGTATTTGGTTTGTGTTATGGGAATAATTAAATATGTGTCACGGAAGCGATAATAATATCATCCCCTGGTGAATTAGAGAATGCTTTCAGTGAGGATTCTGTGAAAGCACCCTTTGATATAAATAAAGCAGCTGTACAAGTCTGCGATGATGTTGGTTATCAACAGATATACTTTGTCACTCAATCTGTTGAGTTAATGAAACAGGCGCTTAGGTAGGTTCAGAACTTGATGTGTGTTTACTGAATACCGTAAGTACTCTGTAGTTTTCTGTGCATACCTTGGCTTTGGCCGTCTGCTTAAAGGTTTCGCCTACCGAGAACAACATCCATCAGTATATACTTAATGTAATTCCCCTTGCTCGATTTGTTTCAAAATAATAAAATATGATCTCTAATAGTTTTCTTTACTCTGTTGAGTATTTAAAACGCTTACAACCTGCTGATTATCAAGTTTCTACTAAATATGGGAAAAAAACATTAAATAAAAAGACGGTTGCAACGAAAAAAGACTTTTTCATTCGAGTAATTCACAATCAGCTACGCTTTCCATTTGTCCATTTACAGTAAATGGGGGAGAAAGCTCCAGAACTCCGTAATGGATACTGTGATTGGACACCAGGGGCAGTGAGTGACTAGAGCCACTCGTCCTTCGAATGCAATACTACAGGGGGAGGGGTGAATCGCGAGCCAAAATAGCTCAGTGGCAACGTCTCTCACCGTAGCACTCACTGGGTGACACGAATATCAAGACTGAAGAAACATCCTGCTCTTTGGCGAGTGCCAACTAGCACGGAAGCTAGGTCTACACTTGGCTTCTCAACGACTACCTTTTACCATCTAATAATAACAACAGTTCAGAGTGCATCGTGATGATGAGCCACCTGGCTTGATGCTTAACACATTACAAACTTGACTGATAGAATTCTTTCTGAACCAAATTAACAAAGGACCAGACATGCATGACACTAGTTACTCACTACCTAGTGTTCAATGTCTTTAGTTAACTTAACTTTAATTAACTAACTAACGCTTGAGCGGAATAGAATGTCCATTAAAATATTTCAAAAATGAACAACCGTTTACTTGTTCGCCATATATTGTAATTCACATTCAACTTGTTTTCGTTCTTATCGCTTGATGATAACACCCACAACCACAACCACCACCACCACCACACACATGAATCATTTGCATAATGTTCTGATCTAATCTCACAACTGCTGCCGATATAATGCCTGTGATAACATGAGGATAATCATATATGCTGTGACTTGTGCTAAAAGCAAGAATTATCATCAGTGCATAGACGCAGACTAGTAGGAGGTAGCCGAAATCAAAAAACGATTATTTTAAGCCAGTGGCTACAGAAGTAGAAGCGTTTATTTCTCGAATCTGGATTGGGCTTGCTATGTGGTCGGGAAAAATCTGAAAGTTTAACCTTCTGAAAATCAGCAGTCAGTCATTACATCTCATCAGAATCAGACCATAAATGCGGCTTAAAACTTATAAATATGGTGTGTTTTTCCTCGTTATAATCATCCATTACTAAGTTTCTTCACTGGTTTCATTGCAATGCTACTTCTAGCCATTCAAGCACACAGAACTTTAGTTGAATGAGGAAGGGATCTACAGGAAGAATACTGCCCCAAACAAGGGTCTTGAAAAGAAAAGCAATCAAATTCTCCTCAAAGCTTTATTTTCTCTAATATACAAACAGTAAAATAGATTACGTCCTGTGAATGTTTGTGTTTTGAGTTATTGCATAAGTTATTGTTTTCTGAACTTCAGTTGGAATCAATCTCTCCTAGTTGAAATGCTGTTCAAAATCAAACTGCTTCTGTTGCTTGTTGTCGTTCACAATCCTTCCTCATTAAATAAATCAAATTACCCAGAAATAAAAACACCGCTGACACCACACATATCCAATACGCCCAGCCGAACAGATCACTTGCACTCTGATGCGAATGTGAATCTCTGTGAATAGTTTCGACAAATTTAATCCATTTCACTGGTGAATGAAAGTGTTTGATGTTCTCATCACTGGGATCTGCTACTACTACTGGTTTGTCATCTTTGAGTTGTTGTCTTTGTTTGTTAAGCAAATATTTTGTGAATTTCTTCTTCAAAGGATAGACACTTTCGTTAGGGAGATGACGAAGAAAATCAGCCCAAACAGCAACGGAGCTAAGCAGGCTAATAACTAAAAGGGAGAAAAGTGGAGAAGGGAAGAAAGAAGTTGGTGAATTTCTGCAATTTGGCTATCCTCACATAAAAGCGAAGTGGCTTTCACTATAGAAAGTTAGGTAATGATAAAAAACAATAGCTTTATTCTTACCACTCTTTATATAATGTACAGAATTTTCATCAGAGTTTATTACATGATATTTCCTCTTCATCCACGGCCTTTACATAAAAGCGATTAACTGACTGAGAGTGAATCGTGTGACACAGCTCCATCATTATAACGTCTGTTCACTCTCCCCTTCGAGAAATACACGACGGCACTTTGTTGAGAGCCAATTCTAAAATGTTCAGGAGTACATTGTGTGAAGCAAGGATATAACTCAGACCCAATTGCCTCGTGTATCGGGATAGGCTGCCATCAATCGAGTTTCATAATGCTTTTTCATCACATGTTTAGTAGATAGAAACTAGAGAAAGAGATCAGGTTGAAGGCTACTTAAATACTCGCCAGTAAAGTAATCAATACTATTGGAAGTGATATTTCACTAGATTTGAAGAAAGTGAATAGGAGAAGTAAAATGCAAACTGTATTGATGGAAGTTTGTTTCTGTGGCCGATGTTTTAAACAGGCCACCTTATTAATTAGATTCATGTCATTACCAACCTTATCTTCAATAATGCGTAGCAATGATGTCGTTAATAATGTTTTGAAACAGTGTTTTGAATTCACGCTGTAATGTTCGGAAGTGTGGCTTGATTAGATTGGTGTTGACTAATAAACTACTGATAATGTTTTGTTAGTAGTAAAAAAGAAATAGAGACATTTATCATTTTTTTCCTTCACGTTCCCAGTGGAACATAGGGCTTCAAGCTAGTGGCTTGAAGTTTCTGTAGCAGTGTTTATTTTACAGGATGAGGTTGCTAACCTCATGTCCAACCTTTCCTCTTCACCAGCATTATTTCTGCCTTAACGAGTTAAAGGAGTGCGTCGGCTGGGGGTCGAACCCTGGGCCATGTGTATGGTCGCCGAGCGTCCTAACCGCTATACCACCGACGCACTGACATTTATCATACACCATATATATTATGTCAGCTCATGATGGAAATCCTGTAACCAATCAAATCCCTAGAAACCAATGCTTGAATATCAATGAGATGCTCACTAGTGACTTGCCCTATTCAGGTGAGTAGTTACCTGGGGTTCTAGTGAGAAGTCATGACCAGTAGGGTGCAGCAGGTCGGGTTTGAGGACAAATACTCGCCGAAGACATTGGCTAAGGGTCGCGCTATGTCGTGAATCGGCAGAAGTTAGAATTCATGGACCATTGGATCGGGTCCCAGTGGCTTAATAGTATACGAGCTCGCCTTGTAACCTGAAGGTCCTGGGTTCGAACCCCGGTGGGTGTGTACTGATGAAGAGTCCCTAACTAGGACGAAACAGCTGTCCAGTACTCCCAGGTTTTCCAATGGTTCTCCGACTAATGTCAGCTTATGATGAAAATCCTGTAACAAATCTGAAATTGTTTAAGTTGTCTGTAAAATATTTGTTTTACACTGTTAAGTGATGAGAGGTTCAACTGTACCACTACGAACGACACCTTCGATTGTCTTTCATATTAATTGAAGCTGTAAATGACTCATGAATTAATAGAAGGCTATTATAGTGTCAAATGAGCACAAGATACAGTCACTTAACATGCCTGCAGTTGCTGAGATTATTTCCAGTCTGTTCATCACATGGAATATATTTTCCGTTGGTTTTACTCCACTGAACAATGTGTTCGTGTTTTACCACTAAGACATGTATGATTCGTAAGTAAATCATTTGCACAGAATGTCTTGCCTACCTCAGTAAATCCTCTGAGTTATTTTTTTATCAAATATACTTTTCGTGTCGGTCTAAATACAAACAATGAATTGAAACATTCATGACAAAACACAGTTTGAGCGAACAATTGTGGTTTCAATAAACTCTTCCTTCCTCAGGTTCTACAATTATAAATCCATTAGTTGTTTAACATACAACGAATCGTCAGACAGTATAGGCATATGGAAAATTTGTCAGAAGATTTATTGTGGAACAAGTATAATATGGGATGAAACAATAGTGAATTATTGAAGTGTTGTTTTGCAAGGATTTGGTTTCGTTTACAGAATGTCATCCATCATAAGCTGACATGCGTTAATATATGATCATTGGATAACTAGCTGAACGTGTTGCCAGATAGCTTTTCCCAGCCCCTTAGTTTGGGACTCTTCACAGTGCGCACCCACTGCTAGCTTTCGAACTCAGAGGCTTCCCAACTGTGACGATGCAGCTGTCTAGCAGTGCTTCCAGCGGATCTTCATTGGTTCTGTAAACCATTTCAGTTGATCATGAAATTCTGCATGTTGTCTGCTATTTTTTTTTCCAACATTTATAATATTCATGATCAGTCAGGACGTGCGATAAGTTGAGGTGAAATAATTCAATGATAGGTATATATATAGTCAACTAAAGTGCAGATTTTGAGGGTGCGGGTAATCAGCAGTGTGAGAGAGACAGTATGAATACCGCAGAAAAACAGACCGACAGACTAGACGTGAGTTCAAGTGTAACAAATGACAATAATAATGATGCTGAAATAATAATGATGATTTAATGGAAACTCAAAATTAGTTTAGTGAACGATTATCACATAATAATGAATCTGTTAATCATGGAAACCTGAAAATGTGCAATTCTCATGCAATTCTTTCGGTGGCCTATGTTTTAAGCAAACTGCCAATTATTCACATACTCTTAGTTTCAGTGTAAAAATAATGTTTGGGAGACTTTTCGCTATCATTGACTTCGGAGTCGGCAAGCTGCTGCCACTAGTGATTAAGGAAATTCTGATCTTAATAACACCTATAAAAGTTTAAAACTTCCCTGAATGATAAATATATCTTACGGAAAATGAACTAACTCTCGTGAAAACTGTGGCCAAAAAATAGTTGTTTCAGAATGATGGAAATTAAATTTTCTTGTTGGCAGTAAATGTCTAAATACGTTCGAACTCTTTGTGGTTGAAAGCATGATTTCTGTGTAGATTAAGGACATTATCTCTCTCAATTATAGCTCGTTGTTATTGTTTTTGTTGCTTAGTGGGTTGGTTGCACTCATCATCTCCGTCTCCTCTCTGTCCTCTTGAAGTCCTGTCTTAAATACAAGTTTTTCAGCTGGTTTGTTGTTTTTCGCCAGCAAGTCTTCGTCTTTATGTGACATAAATCATCGGTGAGGTCCAGGTCTTGTAGATTCTTCTTATCGGTCCATCATATTTCCATCTTCTCACTCTTCACTGGTAGTGTTCCGCATACTCCAGTCTACTTCGATTAGGAATATCATCTTCGGTGATAATGGGCAACCTTGTGTGACTCCTGCACTCACTCAAAATCTGAATTAGTGATAAATTTAGATTGAGACTTTGAATTATTCATAACTTCGTAGATGGCTGCCTAGTGAGAGATTTCCGTAATAAAACACTCTAGAGTATAGCAACAACAGAAAGGTTATAAGAAGAGATACTTAAAATGACTAAAACATTGGTAGACAGCTGATGAACAGTTGATAAGAATACCTAAAGCAGAAAATATTTAACTTCTCTGATTGGACACTAGCTAATAACTAGTTTAATGTGTTCAGTCCTTTTTGTTGGTGCAGATCGAATTCTATCAATCAAGTTTGCGATGTGGTCACCACCTCACTAAGTGACATAGCATCACGAATGCATTGCAATGTGAATAGTTGATTTTACGTAGTTGGAAGGAACCGGCTATAGGAAGCCTTGGATCTACGTTTCGTGATAGTTGGCACTCAACAGTCAGCACGTGGTATCCTCAGTCTCGAAGTAGCTCATATCTCTTCTGAGAGCCTGAGTGGTACAGTTCAGTCTGCTGCAACAAACAAAGAATTAGACGCATCGGACTAGTAACTAACTAGTGCCCAATCGAAGTATCTAACTCAGTCCATCTACAGGAGGTCAATTGCAAGCGAAAACAGCCCAATGGTAACGTCTGTGAAGGGACATGAGTCTCTTCAAGGCTGCAGTTACGTTTTGCTAACTTCTGTGGGCGAACAAAACAGGAAACCTAGGTTTACGCAGGGCTTCCGGCATGGTAACACAAACTATATGATATTGTTAACTTCATTTATATGAACTCTATTAGCATTCCAGACTCTTATAAATTATTTCTATCATACACATAACTCACATAAATGGATAATATAGACGGGCAGGAAATAAAAAGAAAACCATTACGTTGATATCTCTGATTAGGAAGCAGATAAAAGAAATGTTCTCTTCTTTTTGCTTGTCGACGACTTTTTTATGAAGTAAGTTAATTGAGACGGAATGCTATTTACACTGCAACTGACGTAAACTCTTTGTGTTTTTGCAGCAAAAACATTAACGTTTTGTGTAGTACTAAGCGTCGTCATTCATAACATAATTGACTTGTTGAATGCGAGAACAACTGCCTCTAAATTCTGGATGTTTCTAACCCCTTCTCCCCCCGACACACACATATACACTAGAGATCTGATAAATTTCATTTATATCAGATCGGTGTTATGATATTTTGATCAGCGGCAAAACAAAAATGAAAAAAGTGGATAATTCACATTTTGTCCGGTGTTTTCCGATGGAGAATGATTCCATAGAGAGTTTACTTTCTCACCTCCAGTTGATAAACCGTTAGCTATTGGTGACAACCCGAATATTCCAGATACGTATATATATATATATATAATCTAAAGAAACGACTTAGATGAAACTCACAAATTAATAGACAACAACATCGACGACAACATCAAATTCAGAAGAGAAGACGAATCTGAGCACGAAATTAGACTTTAAGATGTCGTAGTCAAGCATTACTGAAGGGAGCCAGGACTCATCGCACCACTGCTACCTGGAGGAAAGTTGAAGAGAAATATCTCATGGACGTCTTCTAAACACAAAATTGATATCCACGAAGCTTCATCAAGAAACATTT